ACATTTTTTAATTCTCGCTTAATCGTAACATAAAGTATCTGGGCAAATTGAGTTTATATTGGGATATTTTACTATTTTTTTTTATTAAAATTTCTTTAATGCATGAAAGGGAAATTTTAACGTTAGAAAAACTCAATACCCAACATATTTTTCCATTAATCTAATTATTTATTTTAATTCAATTTGTATTATAATAGTAACTTACGTTCTGATTATCTTGATTTTCTTGATTTTCTTGATTTTATTGAATAAACAATGAACTTACGTGACTGGAACTTCGGTTATAGAAACAGGACGACTGATCAATTCAGTTGCCTCTCCAGCTAAAGGTACGAAGGAAGTATTATTTTGAAGTGCAATTACTTTAAGCTATTGTGTCTGCATTTAGATAAGCCCGAAAAGGGAAAGAATGAAATACAAAAAATAAATTTTCTTATCTTTTTCTTTTAGTTTTCATTATAATAATGTATGAACTTTTATGTTCTTTTCTGCCAATCAATGATAAGAAGAGTTCGAGTTTTTGGTAAAATCAATGAAATCAAATTGCATTATAAAGTATCCAACGATGTTTGAAAATTATTTATGAAATTTTACAATTTCATATTTTTGTAAAATATTATTTACCGTCCTACGAAATGAAATACTATATTGTGAATTTTAAATATTTCTTAATCATTTCTTTGGATTACTTTCTTAAATATTTTTTAACACTTTTCAAGCGACCAATTCATTTTGTAAAAGAATCGATTTTTTTATTTAATCGAAGCTTCTAATTTACGTCCAAACAGGACGCGTGACGATATTGTTTTATCATTTGTAAATTTTAACTTTAACCTCAGTGAAAACTTTAATGGTGTGGATTGTAAGTGTAGATTTTGCGAAAGATGTTCTCGTTAAATTTAATTTATTATTAATCGCTTAAATAAAGTAGCATCTATTGAATTTAGTAATATAACAAACTAAATCTAATCTATCATTGATTATAGAAAATTCCATCTAGTTATTTCAAAATGTACCTTCACTCTTAATTATCATGGAATATTATTTATTTGTCAAGATATCTTATTTCTGATTTATTTAAATGTAAACTATTTTAATATACTAAGAACGTAGTTGCATTATGTAAGGGTTTAATATTTATTATTATAGGAATACTCGAATATAATATATAACCTTAACAAGCATAGATCAGTACGCCTATTCAATTTAATCCATTCAATGCACGAAAAAGCATAAATAATGTTTTTCTATGCATATTTTTAATATTTTTGAGACTAGAACGCATCACAATTGAATTTCATAAGAATTTGTGTACCTAAATGAAGCAATAAAATAGGTTTTATGCTACATTGCGAAATTTCTTTTTAACTTCAAATATTCGATAAATATATCTGTATTGTACGGTCAGAATTTATAGAGATTTATGATAATATACTACGCATACATTGAAAATATTTAAAGTAACATGGTTTGTCAATTGAAGATACAATTTGAAGTGTAAAAATATTACAGAAAATTAAATTAATTTATTGTATTTTAATAATTAATATTTAGATTTTTATTATATTTTACTATATTATGAATACGTTGAAATTAACGTTATTGTATTATGGTAGTTGTAATTAATAAATATTGAAATATGAATAAGAAATAATTAAATTGAAAATTATTATGAGTGTGATTTGTTGGAATATTTCTTTAGAAGAAAAAAAAAACTGTTTATACGTTTGAAAACAATTTATATTTTGCTTTGGTATATTATTCTGCCTAATTTAAACCTTTTATTTTTCATTAAATTTCTATTTAACAATACACCACAAATATTATTTCTTTCAACTATCGTATATTTATTTAATTTTATACTTTTTTCTAATTCATTGTCTAATCTTTGCACACTGTTTAAATATTCCATAAATAACTTTTTAATTTCATCTACTTTTCGCTTGATTAACTACAGTTACACCAAAAATATTATTTCAATCAATTTTTTGCTTTTTAAATTCATTTGAACTTATTATATTACTTCGATTGTTTTCTAATTTTGCTCTGAAATTCTTTAGACTTCAAAAATTTTTTTTGAATTCTAAAAATATATAGTAATTTATTTTGAAAATTCACATGTTATAAAAGAGATTTATTAGTAATAAATTTGAATTACTTTTTTTTGAAACTTGCAAGCAAACATTGTAATAAAAAATCATCTTCATAATTTTTTTTATTTTTGTAAGCAATTATGTATATTATATATATTAACAATTATATATAGTAAAGAATACAATTTTATTATTGAATAAAAAATATTATATCAAAAATAAAATTCGTATTTGGTGTAATTAAGTTTAATTGATGTGAGCTATCATGAATATTTTTATATTTAAATTTCATAAACAATTAAATTTTTTGAAATTACATGATGATTCACACACGATTTTTTATTGTTGATTCTAATTGCTTTAGTGGTTAAAATACTTGATTCGATGTTATTTAAGCTTTTCGTTATATTATTCCAATATTCAAAATTTACCAAATAACCGTACAAGTTCATTACAAACTTCGTCTTTTATCTTGCTATTATTATAATTTATCGAACATTGCTATATATTAAATTAATTACCTTCTATGATGATAAACGATTGTCGTTAGTAATAAACTTAAATTTCTTAATAAAATTACTAATAAAATATTTTTATCAAATTCGAAGCTTGCCGCTCAAAACATTAATTAATTTTGTTGTAAAGGGACGTACCGTTAATTCAAGTTCCCGTTCTTATCGCTAAATATCGAGTTTCCATGCTTTTACATTGAAATTTTATGATTTTATAAAAATTAATTGTTGTCATTTATAACCTTATCATTATGTAAGTTTTTAAAATTTTTAAAAATATTCAATATTCTAATTGGCCGTTTATATGTATTCATTGCAAAATCAAACTTTGGTTGTAATTTATTTCTTTTTTTTTTTTTTTTTTTTTTTTTTGTATATAAACTTGAAGAGAATAGTTTGGAATTTCAGTAATTATGCAATAAATTCAACTTAACATGAATACTCAAATAAATTAATCAATTCAGTTAGTTACCAAGATAAGAAATTTTATTTAGCCTTACATGTACACTTATGAGCTTTTAAAAAATATTTAACAAACGAGAAGACACACATTTCTTTAAATTATCATTTAGTCCATTTATTGTGATATTACATATATATATATATATATAGATTTTTATAAAATAGTTAATTAAGTCTTGATTGAGTAAAGTTAAAAAGTTTCTAAAAATATTTGCATTTGGAAAGGTATTTATTAATGAAAAATAACTGAAATTTTGATATAAATTTTTACTTTTATTATGTAGAATGAAATATATCGTAATGAAATTATTAATTTTCAAAGATACGGTATAAATAAAATACAATATAATACGATTCATAATACGACTTAGCCAATAATGAGTAAATATTTTCTTCTTTTTTTTTTCTTTTCCTTTTTTTGAGCAAATCAACTCAGGCTAACTCTAGACCTCTACGTACGCGCTTGTAACTGTAAAATTCATGTTGTAATTTAGGAATTTAAATAAGCGCTATAATATAAATATATAAGAATATGTGTTTCTTTATGTATGGTATATAAATGTTCTTATACGAGGCAGTGTCGTAAATATTGAAAGTACGTGTGTACATTGAAAATAATGAAATACGAGTATAAAGGATGGAATTTAAAACACGTAACAAGATGCAATTAAGTTAAGCATTTTTAGCATATTTATTGTTCAAATGTTACAGTAGTTGGTACGTTGTATTTGGAACTATAAGTCAAGTAGAATTAAGTTTATTTTCAAGCTCCTTGAAAAAAAATTTAAATTTAAATTCTTTTTAACTATAGCGATAGAATTGGAGTATTTGGTTTTTGTTCGAGCGCACTTTGAATAAGTTATTTTTCAGTTTCGAAAGAAAAGTTTTACAGCAGAGTATATCTTAATTGGCAAGTCATTCAGCCCCTTTGGTCAGATGAGAAATATACAGGCCTTAAAGAAATATCCGCTAATCCTTACATTCATTATGTAAAGTAGAATAGATAGCTGAAAACTTGTATAAACCGAGAGGATCGAAAATTGTCCGGGATAAAGTTCCACGGCGCACCCTTTAAATTATTCCCAAAGCTTCTGCATCACCTCCATGGCGCCCTCGTCTTTTTATTTATACAGATAATTCATACGTGGAGCTATCTCGTTATTAATCGAAACTTGGGTGTAAGGGCACGTTTAATATCCATTTCACTCCACACCACCACCAACCCTCCTCCCTCTTCCGCCCATCACTACGTCAGCTTCATAATATTCTAATCCATTGATTATGCAGCTGGCTGCAATCAAACTATAAAGCTGCGTATCGACTCGATATTCAAATTTTCCCGGCTACTTGCTTATTCCAAGTAACTCGAATAAACGATTATTTGAAAAGTGCAAATATTTTCCTTTGAAACGACGACGACTCATTTAAAGGCTAGCCGTCTATGAGCCAGTCAACCCTCCTCTCACATTACTTTTCTTTTTCTTTCATTCTTTCTCTTTTTTTTTTTTTTTTTTTTTTTTTTTTTTTGTTTTTTTTTTTAATAAATATTTCATTTAAGAACTGCTGCTCCATAATTCACGAGCCGACGTTCTTTTCTCGATGATTCATTGTAGCGAATCGAGGTATCGTAGCCGTTCTTTTAAATTCAAAAACTTCCTATCGCCGCGAGGCTGCGATAATTTCCCGTGCAAATGACCGTGGCGACTAAAGTACGCGTCCCGTGATTAAGGAACATTTATCAAGGCTGATTTAGAGTCGGGTGTGGCACGTCTCGCAGCGAGAAGAAAATAAGAGTGACGGAGATAGATAGATAGGCGAATGGGGCGGGTGGGGGGGGGGAGATGGAGAGAGATGGAGAGCGAGATTGAGAAAGGGCGGGAGGGAGAGGGTGAGATCATTGTTAAGATCCTGTAGGCCACATCGGCCCGATGCGATGAGCGCACCAGGACTGATAGCGCCGATGACGTTGCAGCTTATCTTCGGGATCGGCACGCCACTGCAGCTGGAGCGCGAGAGCGTCATCGTCGGGGCGTTCACTAAGCTGATCTACGCTCTACCGAGTAACGCGAGCGAGCTGACGGAGCCGGGCGTGGTGTACGGGCGGGAGGAGCCCCCGAGAACAAGTCGCTGGAGTTTGTACGAGAGGCTCGCGAAGCTCCTCGAGCTCTATGGCCTCGGCGATGGTCGCTCCTGCGTCCTCCGCGCCATCTGCGAGGCCGCGAGCATGCCCTTCGAGCACCGCGAGGGCCTTCTGCAGCGGCTCCTTCAGACCTTCCTCTCGTAAGTATAGTACCGCGTGGCTATGTGCGAGCTCCCGTATCGATTGCCGCACGGAGATGCGCATGGAAGCGAGAGAGGCGCCATGGCGCAAAGAGCGCGAGCGGCGAGGAGAGCCGCTGACGAGGGCGTGTGACGAAATGTGTTGCAGGCCCTCGAGTACCCTGGAGCGGCACGAGGAGTACCGGGACCGCGAGTACGAGGCTGCGGAGCGGCTGGGCGCCCGAGTCGGCGATAACTGCCACGCCCTGTACCCGGAGTGTCGAACGAGCTTTCTCGATCTGTTTTCCAGTGTGCGGAGCCTACTGTTACCGGAGAGCCTAGAATGAACGCTGCTTCGTCGATGGCTCCATCAAAGTCTCTCCTACCCTCCCCCACCGAACCCCCAACCCACAACCCTAACCCAACACTCCCCAAAACCCCATCATCATCTTCACAGCCAGGGGTGGCCCCGAACCAGTCGTCCTTCCCGCTTTGAGTATCTACGTAAATACGCTCGTTCTACGGCATCCGATCGAGGTCCCCCACCACAGCTGCCCTGCCTACGATTCCCCACTGTTTTTCCACTCCTTCTGTGCCATCCTTTTCAAGTAGTTCACCCGCTCTTTCATCCGACGCGGGCGTTTCCATCTCCCTGCTCTCTCGCCGTCACTTCCTTTAACTCACTTACTAACTTTAACATTCATTAGTTCCTACAGAGCCATAATAACAAATTTACTACGATTTTATGTGGTTCTCTTGTAAATCGTAGTCCCTTAATTGCCGATAATCCTTATGAAGTGTCGAGTTCATAAGTATTATTAGCGCCATAATTGTACAAAGGCAGCGCATTCGCTTTTACCTATATTTTTTATAAATTTTTCACTTAAAATAAATAATGTATAGGGCATTGAATTAAATGTATTTACAATAAAAATAATTCGATTTTATGCAATCCAATTCTCCTTCGAGACGGCTTTTTCCTTTTATCCATCCGACTCTACCTAACAAAGTAATTTCTTTTATAAAAGATGTACAATTCCAAGCAAAATTAATATTATTATATTGATATTAAAGTAGACACAATTAATTTTAAAACGTTACTTGTAATTATCAATAAATTGATCCATTCTCTTATATATATATATATATATATATATATATATATATATATATATATGCATTATGTATTAATGGAAATCAATCAATTAAATAATAAATAATTCAAGGAGTAACGTGTGAAACGATAATGTGAGTTTGTAAAATTTCGTAAATTCTCGCCAACGCAATACAATTACCTCACAGAGTGTATTATTGTTCTTTTTGGTACTTAAAAATTATTTGCAATCTTCATGATTGAGAAAATTAAAGTGTCTATCCTTCTCGATTTATAAACATTTATATTGCAAATCACTTACGTCACACAGACGTTTTATCGCTCCTGACAAATAAATCTAAATATGTTGAAACCACTACCTAATGTAAGGTTCCACCGATTTATCAAATTAGAATTTAATTAAAGTTTCTGGTACTTTCTTTAACCAAAATTTCATGCGGTTGATTTCAATAACAGTTTACTGTGTTAGTTTTACACTAAATCTCAATAAGCATTGTTATGCGTCAAGAATGCATCGTAACATTCTCACAAATTCTATGACGTACAAAGTTAGAATTATTTTTAATATTGAACTAGCAACGTTTCTCAAATACTTCAGTAATCTCAATGAAATCTTGAGTTTATGATTTAAATTCAAATTATGTTTGCATATACCTTAGTAAATTTATTTTGAATTTACTAGAGCAGTGCATTGTAAAAAATATCGTTACACAATTTTTTTCAATATCCATACATATACTTAAGTTTACAATAAAATAACATATCAATAAGTATATACATATGTATATGTATATCATTTAAGAAATTTAGAAATGATTTTTGAAATTATAAAAAGAATCGAAATTATTGTTTAGAAAATTAAATTTAGTTTCAGTTAGGAATAGCATTGAAAATATTATACTTCTTACATAGTTTACGTTAGCTACTAATATTAGTACCCTGAAAATATGTAAATTTCAGAATAAGTAAAGAAGAACAATTTTTTGTGATTCATACTACAAACAATTCAGGCGTGAAACTGCGTATCTAAGGCATATGGATTTTAGCTGACGTACTGTCTTTTTTTTGTTTTCCTTTTTTTTTTTTGTTTTTTTTTTGTTTTCGTTTTTATTCTCTTGATAACGTAAAATACTATGAAGTTCGGCAAACATAAAGTTATATAAAAGAAAAGTTGTTAAAAGTAATTGTAACTTAATAATATATTTTTAAGTTTGAAAGCCGAGCATATTAGTCTATACCAAATTCGTTACTTTCACTAATACCTTTCCACCATCACAGATTCTCATAAGATAATACGAGTTACTTTTTGTGTATTGTTATGAAGCTGTAATGTTTGAAAATATAATTAAAACTATATTTATTAATTAAAAGTACAATTTCTCCGTATATAAAAATCTTTATTCTTTACTAATTGAGAATATTTTAATTAATTCAAGCAACAAATTGCATTACCAAGTTTCAATAAAATACATTAAACTAAATTTCTTAATAGCTATTAAAAAAAAAAAATCCTTAAAGTAGGTAAGTACGTGACGTATAAACATAAGATGTATGATACATTTATTTGAGACTTATAATTTTACGAGCATTTAATATTGAATTTAATTTGCCAATAAATGACTTTTATTAAACCTAAATATTAATAGTTAAATAGTTAAATTGAAGAAAAAAATCAAGGGAAAAATAGCTTTCCTTTTAGTTATGTTACAATATATATTACCTAATTTAAGAGTTGATAAATAGATATTATAGATATTCTCTAGGCATTAATTACGAATGTATAAAAGAAATTACAGAATTGCCAAGGTAATATTTAAGGGTTATGTTTATTATTTATATTTTCAGGTTATGTTTAATAGTAGATATTTAGAATGTGCATAGTTTCTTACTTTTTATGAAATTTTACAATCTCAACTGAACTCATTTTTATTCAACTCACTTGATAAAATTTGCCTGTGTCAACATCATACACTCAACGTCATAGTACTTGCAATATCAGTTAATTTAGAAAATATTAATTTTTCATTCGTAACGTATCGATAGTATCTAGTTTGAAAAACAAATATAAACAATTATTTTATACAATGCTGCATTTTTTAATAGGTCTAATCAAAATTTATTATCTTTGTCAATCATTTTAATTGTTTTTAATGAACGATTTGTAGTAAGCGATTTTATAATGTATATGCCAAGAATAATAAAGTACTATTAAACTATATTGTTTCACTTATTAATAAGAGTAAGTCTCTAACATAAGGCCCGTACATTAAATTATATTACAGAAATTTTCATTTCACTTCATTTGTATAGCATGTATAAATAATTAAATATGCCAGGATTAAAACGGCAGGAGTAGTATGTTTTATTAGTAGTATTTATTATTAATCCTGTATAGTTTTATGGGGTTAACTTCTATACCACGTGGCGGAAAGTCATACGTTCATATTTTCACAAAATATACAGTACTAATCGTACGCAACTATGCAAGATGTAAAAAGTATGAATAAACTGCAATTAACCAATTTGAAAATATTTGCAAACATGAAAATGACTCAAATCAGCATTATACCGCAATTTGTATGGTACAATAAACTATATATATTTAAATAAGTTGAATAAATGGTAAGAACAGTGGTTTTTGTTAATGACAATTTCAAATGTATGGAAAATTATGAATGAATTATTTCTTTTCTAGAATGTAACGATTTAACATTCCTTATTGCCTTTAAGTTTATATTGTCCATCTATTATATACTGCAGAAACGAATTCTTGATGAAAAAAACAAAAAGCTCTATTAAAGTGACAGTTAATTTTCATATTAATAATCGAATATTCGTTTTGTGTATCGATTTATCGTCACGAGTTCGTAATATTAAATCCCTCGACCAAACCTTAGTAAGGGCAAATAATAAAGAATGGAAGAGTCTAATATTGCGTCCAAGAGGAAATTAGTCAGATGTCCATGGTTTTTAGTAAATTGCATGAGCTAACGAAAGCCCACATGTTGTTCTATGCGAATAATACACAGAAGCTTAACACGAAGCCCGGAACGGAGACAGAAAGTTCCTTCACTGCTTGTTCTCTCGCTTGCACACGTTGGGTGAAAAGTAAGAGAGAGAGAGAGAGAGAGAGAGAGAGAGAGAGAGAGGTCGCGTTCGCGCTAAGTTTTCATTTCCGCGTTGCGTCCTCGCGTTCAGGCTTTCATTTGCCTAAAAGTCGGAATAAGGATTTACGGATAAGGATAGTACTACATTCAGTTGAGGAATCCGAAATTACGGCTACTCACTCCGCTCTGTGGTTTTCCACGCTCGAAAGCAGCATTTGAATTTCATCCTCCCTCCGCTTCTTTTTACGCTTCATTATTTTGAATATTTTGGCAACCTCTGCCTCAATTCAATGGAAGAGGTGGTGAAAGCTTTTTACACGGGGTCGAATTTAAATGAGACTCGGATTTTTAGAGTATTTAGAGCGTGCACTTATCTTGAATTGATGGCTCAAAGTTTATTTTTAATGTACAAGAGTGGATATTGCAAAAATTATTGATTTCACTTGTTTATCAGCTATTATACTCAACAATCTCAAAGATGGTTGAACCAACTATTTCGTCTGAATAGAATTAAATAGAAACTTTCACAAATTGATTTTTGGGGATGTTTCCCTTTATGTGTTAGAAACTTGATAATCTGTATGAGAATGAAGATGAACACGAGCGATAAACTTTTTATCTGTGTACGTGACTGAAATGCTGATAGATGATATGGTGTCTTGAAATACGTTGAGCGTGAACAGTAAAATTATTTGCCTACAATAATACAGCGATAATTATTTCATTTTGCTTTATGTCTTAATAAATTATTGTCCTGTTAAATGCTTATATCAAGATTATTAAGTTCATTATACGAAATGCGAAATGCGTATTATTAATTTATAAAACGATACTCATAAGCGTGAATGTTATATTTTCATTATATTTTCCATAAAACGAAAAAATTAAATGAAAAAAAAAAAACAATTTTTTATGTTAAGGGTTGGATATTTATATCTATAGCATGTAAAAATGATAAAATTATTTAGCGGTTTTTTGTCTGTTGTCCTTGCATCGGTAAATATATGTTTGTGTACATTTAACTTCCATCTATCTAATTTATATTTTATCTAATTTATATTATATAATTTATATTATATATTATATAATATATAATATATACATCTAATTTATATCTAATTTTGTATTTATATTCCTACTGTATAACTTAATCATTATATGTATT